AGATTGTAGAGCGCTGAAGCAAATACGACCGAATGATGGAACCGCACAAGGGCTCAAGGTTGGATTGTGTCAAGGCGAGAAGATCCGAGCAGGGAACTTGTCGAAACGGTCAATGAATGTATTTGATAAGTCACATGATGTGCACGAGGAATTCATGGTACCACGCACTTTAGGCGTTGTTGATGCGATGCTGGAAAAGACATAATGGAACTCGCAAATTACTCAAGACAGCGCAAGTTTTTCAAAGTTTTCTGGGAAACAGGACCAAACCGAAGTCTCTAGCTCGTTGGTATTGGTGATTACTTTTAGATAATATGAGAGGTATTCACCCAATTTTGTTTGAGGTGACGAAGGACTGGTAGTCGAATTTTCCCACAAAATCATATGAGCAGAGCTGACGCTTCCATTGGATTTCATACTTTGTCATTTTCATGTGAAGTAAAATTATAAAAATGAAATACGGGCCCTTTATTGATGTAGCGTGCAATTTACTAAATAATAATTAAATTTAATATTAACTTTATCCTGATCACCTGTTGAAATTTGGTCTTATAAATGAGTAGCCTGTTCAGCTTTCTCAATTTTTTTTCGCTCCTGTCAACCTGATGTGTGAATTGCCCTTACTAATTGGTTAGTTTTACAATCTTTCATAGCATTTTGGCGTTCGCTTGAACTTGATTAAATTGTTCGCGCCATTTTTTAGTTTGTTTCTCACACGCTTATTTGCCATTCCCTTTTGACAGATTAATGCCGTTTCCTGATGCCGAGATTTTAATTTACAAAGTTACTTTAATCGAATACCATCATCTATCATTTGCACTACATAACAGAAAAGAAGGCCTGTATATATTTGCATTCTTGACGGGAAAATGAGCTGTGCAGAATGGATTGTACTCCGAGGTCTGTATGCTTACGACACTTGAAAGAAGTGATTATAGGCTCAATAAATGTGCTCTTATATGGTTAAAGTCTCAGGATTTGGCTGAATTAAGGTAGATGGTGATTGGCCTAAAACACAATTTCCGCCACCATGCATCTGCTTGAAAGTGTTGGCAACACATCATTTGCGATACGAAAGATGTGATCTGAAAGTGGATAGTGACTATGGGGGAAACGCATTGTTCGAGGCTCCCGTTGAACTGTCCTTTCAGAATATTTTTTCCAATATATATTGTACTTTACTTTAAACATACACTACTTAATCTACTTATAAGTGCGTAATTATACATTGCTGGGCAAGCACTATGCAAGCTATGCAAGGAATAAACATGCTGGCAATTGATCTGACAAAACTGGTTAGACCATCGTGAATAAAATACCCTTTTATTGTGCTATTTTCTTCCTATCACACGCTTGTCTAAAGAGTATGCATCGAGTCGCTAAAGAAGGAGGTGAATCTCATCGAGGGACGACTGTTGAAGATGCAGAAAAACATGAAGATGGAAGGAGAAAAATCATCCGACGTCACAGCAGACTTTATCTCGGTAAATATTTCATATAATGTCTCCCAACCCCCTTCGAATGAGCCTTTAGCTTGCTTTGGTTTCCTTCACCCCAGATTGTGTTATTCTCATGTTTACTAACAAATAATAGCGAAATATCTTCACATTGAAGAAACTTACGTGCTGAAAGTGTGTGTAAACATAAACCTGTGAAAGTAGATATAATTGTTCTTGGATCAACAGTGTTCAGATTTCAGATTTCCTGACATCTTTCACAAATCTATGAGTTATCCTCACCCGTTTCGTTTAAGGTGATGACTTAATGGTAGCCGAATTTTCCCACAAGGTTATGAGTAGAGTAAAATGCACATAGCCTTGCTTTGCAAAAAGATGCAATTAATTGAAAACCTAAGCCCTACTCATATGAATATGGGAAAATTAAACTGCCATTCCTTCATCATCTTAACCGAAATAGGGTGAATATAACTCATAGATCTAGTTTACTGTTAGTTTCGTAAATCTACTCAAAAAGGAAATAACTTTCACAAGTTTCATACGGTGTGGTCAGCACTGATGCTTAACATAACTCATAAAGACTGATTTTGTCGCCGCATTCCACATGGCCAAAAGTATTCTCCTCCTTAATGCTTCAACTATGAATTCCTCTCCGGCTGGATTCGAACCATTTAGGGAGCCAGAAGCGGCTGAACACAGGGCGACAACTGGTCATGTGGCAGATTTCATTGGTTCGTCTATTGCCGGGCGCAAGATGAGAGAGTCTACTAAAAGTCTAAGATTAGGGAATACATTGAATGCAATAGATTAATGCAGCAAGTTGGGTAAGAAATGGCCATACTTGATTGAAAGACGCAAGAAGAGAGAAGGTGTGTAGCTGACGAGGAAAAAAGGGTAATTGAACTAGTCAGCTGAGTGGTGCTTCCTACCATATTCATATTCATTTCTCACAGCTTTTAAGCACATCCATGCAGCCAGATTGACGATTAGGATTAAGCTGTAGAGGTCATCACTTTTCTTGGATTATCGTCAAGCTCAATTGTAATTATATGTATCATTAGTAGGTCTTGAGATTAGTATTACAACTTGAATAAAGGCTGTAGGCACTCCAGGTCGCACAAGGTGATCGAGGATTGAGGGTTCAAAGTACCCAAAATGATACCAATTGGCCTCATGATGCCATTGAATTTCACTCAGTCTTACCTTTCTCCCGAAAAGATTGTATCCGCACTCCAGCAGGGTTCGAACTCGGCTCGCGAGCATCGTGGCTAAGTGAGATTATATGCGAATAAAAGTTGGGTTTCGAGGAATCTCTTGTTTCATAATTGTTGAGCTTACTTCCATTTCGAGTGAAAGTGTTTGGTGAAGTAAGTTCGATTCCTCCAGAATATGGCTGCTGATTCATCTTATGCGAAGAATAGTTGGGTTTCGAGGAATCTTTTGTTTCATAATTGTTAAGCCTACTTTCATTTCGAGTAAAAGTGTTGCGTTAAGAGATTCAAAGTTCGGTTTCACCAGAAAACGACGGCGGATTCCTCTTGATCAGCTGTCTATGGGCTTTACTGGAACATTCATGCTGATGCTGTTTCCGAGGCAATCTCCTTCGATTCCGGTGCGTCATGTGACGAACATCATCAGAGCAAGGAAGGTATCATCGGCACAATTAAATTCAAGCTAACGAGTCAAGTGAGATTGAGTGAAATTCTTGAGGTTGCCTTCTGTTCAAGTGAAAGTGTACGTAACGCAGAGGTTCTAAGGTCGATCTTACCAGAAAATGGAGGTGATTCGTTTTCGTTTGGCTTCATTCCTTACACTTGATTGATACTACAGCCATTTTCACTGGAATAACATTCACTCCTTAGCTCACCTTAAGTGACCTAAGATGAATAAGTTATTATTCAATTAAATTCATCTATAGACTTAAGTTTTATTCCACTCACATTGAAGTGCTGTATTATAATTAAGTAGTATATGCTTTTAAATGTCAAATAAAACAATATAAGGATGTTCCTTAAAAAAATATGGTCTGCTCAAATGAATCCAGTCGTCAGGTCTAGAAGGAAGGAATTTAAGTTCAACGTAAGCTACAAAAGACGCTTGCAAACTAGATTTTTTAAACATACTATAAATGTTTCCTTGCCATATACCTAAGTGTTGTTCCTTCTCTTATTCATGCCAACTATTTTTCCGTTTTCAATATATAAACGACAAAGTAAAATATGCACTAATTGTCTATAATTACATTCACAGAATGCAGAAGATCAGCTGAAAGAGGTGACTGAGAAACTGGAACGGCTTGAACATCTCAGGCTTGCTTGTGCCGACTACTTCTGTGAAGAGCGCTCACAATTTAAGCTAGAGGAATGTATTAAAATATTCAAGACTTTTTTCGACAAGTTCAACAAAGCGCGACAGGTGAGCTGGTTTAGTTGCTACTTAAACGAAAATGATTTTTGAAAGAGTTAAAACACTAGCAACCTGACGTGATGTATATTAAAATAATATTTTTACTAATAATAATTTAAAGTTGTATATAGCACATTAACAAGTTTATATTGAGCTTGACAAATTAATTTCAAAAATGATTTCTGATTCGCTTGCCTCCAGACAACCTGTCCTTTAATACCTCATAATATATTGTAATTAATTAATATTGCTCGTTCACGATAAGAGAGACAACACTTGTGTCGGAATCGGCATTTTGACATGAATTTCTGTTTTGAAGGAAAAGTTATTCCGAAGAAATTCGTAAAATGGACTCATCAAAAACTAAAGAAGGGCTACAGCAGAGTGAAGACCGTCGGATTATGTGAATAGTTCCTCGGCTCACTCTCCTGCGACCCAGATGAACATTGGCTGATCTTTCGTCTGTACTGTGACAGACGCCATCAGCGCAAGAATCCATGCGTTACGAAGTGACACAAACTGAGCACAAAACCGTGTAGCATAGGCGAGTCATTAAGGCAGTAGAACATTAGAAAAGGGTATAAAGAGAATTTGAAATTTTCTTCAGTCCTTCTTTCTCTTCGAAAATTTTTGGACTCAAAATTTTGTTCTCACGTGGGGTATACTTGCCGACCCATCAAGAACAGATCATGTGAACGCATAACGGCATATAAAGTTATATGGGTCCCAAAATCTACGCTCGCTGGGTATGGGGACTTTGCGTCAACGCATAAGATTAGGGAGCCTATAGCAATTCCTCATGAGCAGGAGGAAGGAGTGTAGAATATTGAGTAGGAACTGTTTGTGGTTGTTGGATAGACTCAAGGAGAGCGGCATGAGCCAGTGAACTAGAGAAAAAGACTGAATTACACCTCTCATAATATGAATATTATATACACATAATAGACACTAGCACATATCTTTTCACGATTTAATAGCTGGGGATTGTACACAAGTTTATTTATATAAAGAATCTACTTCCGAGTAATGCATTAACTTCACTCATCTGCAAATATTTAGAGTAAGTTTGAAGTGGCTAACCAAATCATGGAGTGTCTCATTAAAATCGCAGAGAAAGATGTATAAAACAGTGGCTATGGTTACTGTTGGTTTTTGCTATTTTTGGCACTATTTCATAAAGTACAGATTCACGCTCTGATGATGTCTGTCATGGAGCTACAGACGAAAGCCTAGCACAGGCTCATCTGGGCCGCCGGTCGGTAATCCTTTTTTGGTTTTCCGTTAATCCATTTTCCGAATTCTTTCTAATCAAATTTTGCTTCTAAATGGACAGTTATGTCACAATAAATTACAAAGCATTTTTCAAAACACAGTTTTTATTCTCATCTTGAAATCGGTATTAGTAGAGCCTAGGAGAGTGAGGATATTTTTTAACAACAAACTTCCAGCACTCTCGGAATAAAAGTTATATATGACTTAATCACGAATTATGAATGTGCTAAAATATCAAGTGCAGCAGCCTATTATATAAATAATCCAATCTGATATACAAACTTTACTCATCATATTTCGTATTTTAAGTTGATGAAGGACTGGTAGTTGAACGTTCTCGCACTGATATGAGGAGTCCTCATTTTTTACACAACCATACCTCCCAAGAGGTACTTTCATCCAGGATCTGTTGCGCCTTAGACCTCGCCTATGTCCTGCCAGCACCTCCAGAGCAACTCAAATTCAGCATTTTGTTGTGTAGTCTATAATGCCGACCATAACCATTACTCCAGACTGTCATGAGCGACGTTGGGCGACTGGGAAGAATGAATCTCAAGGGGGCCTATTATTTTCACATATCACATTTCTTTGGTGGGATTGTCTACGAAGTAAAGTTGTATTTGCCATAGCAATTGACGACACTACTTATTTTGTTAGTGAGTAGGTTTTCGAGACTAACAGTTATGGTTCGACTCTCGCTTCTGGTATTGACAAGCGCTATGCGATGTTGAAACTGCAGTCCATCCTGGAGGAGAACACCTTTTGTGAAAGCATGACTATGTAAAATTCAATGAAAAACATCAACTACCAATCCTTCATCACAACTCGTATGCACTACTTATTCTTCGTAGCATAAGGCGGCTTTAGAGATTATCGGTAAATCTGATCTGAGAGCTGCATTCACGATATTTCGTTTTTTTATGCCTTCTTTTGTTTTGGATTACTATTATCTAGGCTGTTGGGACTTCACTGTCATAGACAACAACATAAATAGGAATTATCTGTGAACCATGCACATGCTTCTGTCGTATTTAGTGCACAATTAGTACACCGCTAGAGGCAATCGCTCTAAATGAGTCTATCCGCGGGCATCAAAGCTTGTTTTCGTTGATGCCATTGTGAAGAGCGACCCCTTGAGTAGGATGCCCAGGTGAATAACAGGACTCAGATTCCTATATTTTCTGGCCTAGTGACTCCAACAACAATGGTGGGTAAAAATATATATCGATGTTCCAAATGTTGAAATGTACTTGGAAATAATATTCACTTTATTAAAGCTACCCTTTAGACGCTTTCTTAACAAATTCAACTAACATATTACTGAATATATCAGACAAGAAGAAACATTCTTCCAACTGAAGTGCAGGCTTACCAAGTTTTGGCGAAATGTCATTTTTCCTATTAATATTTTGTGATCATGGCACTCGCCGCTTGACTATAGATGTCTTTCCAACCCTATTCACGTTTCCTAGGACAACACGGAATGGAAGGAGAGACAAGAAAAGCTACAGGAGAAGAAAAGACAGGAGGACTTCTTGAAGAGAAGTAAGTTTTGCATTACCTAAATGTCATTCCTTCTTAGTCAAAATTTGATTGCGTTTTAGTTCATCCAGCTCAAAAAATTCAACTAATTCGGTACTTTCGACAGCTAGTTTCAACTGTCTATGTAGCTCCTGGGAGAGCAAAACGCTACGACATGCAGTATCCTAGGTGGCATAAGTTGATTAAGGATTGCATAAGTTGAATTTTCCCACAATCAGATGAGCAGGCCTTGTGTGAATCTCATTTGCCTCTTCAATGGGACTGGAATTCAGGCAAATCAGCATATCATTTCGGCATGTTATCTCCGCGCCAAACTGCCAAGTGCGTCACTTGGTCGTAGGGTTGACGAGACCTTAAAGGGAGTCCACAGCCTTTCAATATTACAATTTTTATAGTGCGATCGTCGATGTTGCTTATATTCATTATAGATGGGTTTCGAGAATATGAATAAATCTTGTATACGAGATCAAGACACCCTTGGTCACATATGGGAGAGTCATAGCTTGCTTTAAAATCAAGTTTTGCCCTGGAACCTGGGCTGGTATGGTGTATTGGTAAAATGCCGAACGTTTGAACTACAGAAGCAGGTTCGGATTTAAGTCCATCCTGGATAAGCTTACCTTTTTGGAGGCAGGCTTAATTGAACTTCAATTGCAATGAAGGTCAAATGGCTTATTCATCTTATTGTGGGAAAATTGATCACTTTAAGCTCTTATTTATGACTAAAGATAGTCTAGAGACCTACTTTTTATGCTACAAGTAGTATCCAACCTTATCATCAATTCATGAATAACTTCTTATATTGACAATAAGTAGCATCGCCGATTACAGCGTCAATCATCTTTTGTTGAATCGACACTCCCTCTATCAACTATGAACATTGATAATCCTGGCTCGCCTTGCATGTCTCGTCTGTCCTGTGACAAAATTATAATAATAGTAATATTTCTTTAATAAAAACTTAACCCATTACTCTCCATTTACTTAGTAGTATATCTGATAAGATGAAATTTTAATTATTAAATGCATACGTAAGCGTTATTCCGCTTGTTTTCTGCGTTTTCAGGTATTCGTCGCTCCGGTTGCCGTCCCGCAGGCGCCTACTCTTCTCAGGCGGGTTCGAGTCTGCCAACTGGTTCGATGTCGCAAAGCCTCTTCTCGGCGCCGAGCACCGCCAGAACCGCCAACCCGCTCGTCGTCGGCGGCTCCGGCGCTTGCGAGCCGGCCGATGCGAGGACTTGGCTAAGTGGTCCGGCCCCCCAGTTGCCTGCCAACAGTCTGTTGGCGCGTCGGTTGCGCCAGCTCTGTCGCGGCGGTTGCAGCACGGGACTCGAGCTGGACGAGCTGGAGAGTGACGAGGAGACGGAGGCCGGTCTGCTGGCCACTTTGGCCGGGACCGGCGGTGGCCGGTCGCGCCACTTGCTGGCCGGCTGCGTCGAGGCCAGCGAGCCGCGAGAGCCTCGTGCCGGCTGGCCGGGGGTACAGTTGACGCCGGTGCGGCACGGACAGAGTCTGCGTGTCGCGTCGACCGGCAGACGAGCTGTCGACTGGCGAGGCGACTGCCGACGCGAAGTGACGGACGCGACGAACCGGCCGCAGGAGGAGGCTGGCGAGACTCGAACTGGTCGCGCCGACGGCGAGGCTGACCGGTCGGAGGAGCTGAACTGTTGGACGGCTTCTCGGCTTGGCCGAGGCCCCGGCAGACGAGCCTCATTCGTGATGCAACGCGTCACGCGATTCAACGCCACCGGCGCTGGCCTCTTCGCCGAGGCCGGAGACTTTGGCGAATCGGCTGAGGCCAGTTGGGCTCGGACCGACGCGAAAGAGGCGGAGGGAGATGCATTTCGCAGAAAAACCAGTCTTTTCTCAGTCGCAAGAGAGCCCGCGTCAAGCAGAGCACAGAAAATGTAATGAATGAAGATGCCTTCGAGATGAAACTTTCACATTTTTATTTTGGGTTTTGTCAATCAAATATCAAGAATCTTTTAGCCGATGCCTCGCTTTCTTTGTAGAAGGCAAGGCCTTCTCGAAAGGGTACCAGTCACCTTTTTAGGGTAGCTTTTGCTTCGTCTGAGATTGCAAAGACACGACAAGGTCGCAGCTGAAGTGACCTCGACCTGCATTTCCTTGCCGATGTAGTCTCTGAAGTCATGCAATATATATTTACATTTTTATCCATGCCTGTTGGCGTATATTAATAGACGTAGATATTTATTTATTTATATGGGTGTGTCCTTGTGAGCAAGTTTAAAAGTGACTACCTTAAGTAATTTAAATATATAATTATAATATTTATAAACTAGTATGCATATTATGTTATATGTACATATGAGCTTAATAAGTATGTATATTGTAATATATAATATAGCTACTTAGATTATTCAAACGTTTAAATACAAATATATATTCATTATGTATATACCTAAATATATGACTACATGCATACACAAGCGCATACATATTTACATAAAAATGTGCATGCATAAGTACAAATGCATATATATGTATGTGGTGTTTGTGTGAGTACGAATGCAATTAGAACAGGCCACCAAAAATATATGTGCCCAAAGGCCAAATCCCAGGATCGTCTGACAAATCATATTTTATGATTCACAAACTGTCGGATTAGCGAATGGAGGGGTGTAAATCAGATGTTGGAGCAATTTATTAGCTCAGATTAAGTATATTTAGTAGGATGTTAAGTTTACGATAAAGTTTGCCAGCTTTAGACATCTTGCTTGATACAGAAAATGCCAACTTGGTCAACGATGCGTGTGTATATAACCAAAAGCGTATTCGATTGTAATGGCAGAATAGGAAATCCACTATAAGCATCACATGGAAATGGCCGAAAAGGCCTTTAAGTTCATCTCTACGCAGTGACCCATTGGAAACTGCGACAGAATAAGCTGTGGTGATAATATATGAGATATATTCACCCAATTTCGTTTATGGTGATGAGAAACTGGTAGAAGAAGAATTTTCCCACAATGATATGAGTTGAGCTGACGTTTCCATTAAATTTCACAT